AGGCTTTATGGGTTTCTCCATAAAACAACACAATGGTCAGTACTTTAATACAGATGAATCAGAAACGTTCAGATGGAAAACAATAGACTTGTTTTTTCTGACTCTTCATTTCCTTGTCTTTTTAATAGGATTCATTTTTAACAGTGAGTTACTGCAGGTCAAATGTTTAAGACCATATAAATATCATGTCTTATTTATGCTTATGTGTAGAGAAATGTGTCAGCATGGGTAAGGTGACATACAGATCGTATCTAATGTGATCGAATTTTTTCACAGCACTCTGGACAGTAAAGCATAACAAACAAACTGTAGCCTTTGGATGCAATGTCCGCACTCTATTTGCATGCATTGGCGTTACGGGAATGTTTTAGCCGTACAAGTTACAACTGGTCCCTAGCTGACTTCTAGTAAAGGTCAGGACAGAATAAAGTGTACTTTTGTGTCTTCCAAATCTTTGAGGTACGATAGTTTCAGTGTCAGTCTCTCCAGGAAACTCTGTTCAGTTGCCCCATCAATTATGGCTACAGTCATTCCTCAGAAACCATGAAGAACAGTTGAGTGAGTTTAGCTTCCCACACTATATGGGATGTTTGCCATTCACCAAATGTCCTTGCAAGTTTTGTAATTCAGTGAAAAGCATTGATAATGATACCCCCAAATCTGTCTACATTGAAAAGTGATGAAAGGCTGTAAGCCATACAGTAAAATGTGATTTTTCCTGAAGTATTTTGCCAAAATGAAATACATAAAGTACCTACCTGTTGAACATAATAAATCATGGATTTCATTTAAATATTTGATCAGGCTTGCTTCCCATCATCCAGCACGGAAATCAGAGGAGAAAAACGAGTTTATATAACATCAGAATAGATATGGGACAATATAGTCATGATTGTCATGATAAACAAAACAAAAACCCGGTGACTTGAACCAGCTGTCCAGCATCACGGTAGAGTACTTCAAAACAGAGCATTACTTAAAAAATACGGGATTAAATGCAATACAATAATTTGACTCTTAACACAATACAAGGTGAAATGATGACAGTTTTTTTTGGCGCATGTTTTAGAGTTATTTAGGCCTGTACAATCTTGACAATAATCTTTTTATATCTTTCCCCATTAGATCATATTTTTTGAGGGCCAACAACAATTTCCAAGTGTGGAAGTTTGCTAAGAAAAGTGAAGATTACTTCAGGAAGAAAGAAAACATTACTCTTCTCTAAGTCTCTTCCTGACCTCACCCTGCAGCCTCCGTTGAGAATTAGCGTCGACAAATCTGACTCGTTGTTGCTGCTTGAGTCGCTGCTTCGACATTGATGAAACTCAGCAGATGTAAAGTGGTTTTCTGACCAAGAAATATGGACAAAGTTTATTAGGTAAAAAGTTGTGTCAAGTTAGTAAGTGCCGTGGTGCCCTTGCAGTATCAGCAGAGATTGTGTTGTCACTTTGAAATGTGGACAGCTTTAACCTAAAACAACACATCAAAAGAGTATTGGGTCGTTGTTTCCACTCTGCAGGACAGGTCTCTTTTGAATCAAATGAATCAAATCTCTGGTCCACCACAGCTGAAACATACTGTGTTCACTTACAAATACTGTAAGGCATATTAAACCTACTATTAAATGTATGATCATCATCATTATCATATCTTTCAAAGTTAATGATTCGGTTAGTGGTCAGAAAAAAGCACAACAAACTCATCATGGGTCAACTGCTGAATGCCCTTCATAGTGTATGCCGGTCACAAGCTTTTAAAACCATAAAGTAATTTATCATCTAACAATTTGATGGAACTGTTCACGGACAAATTATACAATACATTAAAGAAGATAATTATAGTAGTGTCTTTTGAGTAATAGCAAGATGAAAGCAATTGAAGGAACCGTTTATAGGATGTGAAATTGCCTCTTAGTAGAACCTGAATGAGGATTTCTGGCTGTACTTCACCTATAAACGTAACGTAATATCTTAATGTATACCTCAAATGTTCCCGGAGTTTTAACTTTAACCACAAAATTGCCTTTGTGTCACTGTCATTTCTGCCTGAAGCTATTACCAGTCAGTCATCATTTCCCCTGTCATTATATTCTGATTTCAGAGTCTGGCTTTCTTTTTTTATTATTCTAATCTCCTCTGAACAACGATAATTGAGAAGAGGTAGACAAAAAACGTTTCTCGCTATTACATTGTCAATTACTTCTTGAAGTAGGAATATAAGTCTATTTCTTCTGAGTAATATGAGAAGATTGATGCCTCTTTCAATATATATCAGAGGCTAGTTAGCTAAGCTCTGCATAGAGAGGGAACCTTGCTCTGATGAAAGGTAGCAAAAATATTTCTTCCAAAGCTCACTATTTCTTAAAATGTCAAACTAAGAATGACTAAAACTTGAATAAAAATGTAACTGTGGGATATTGTCAATGGCCTTTCCTATAATTTGCTACTTCGCTAACACTACAGAGCACAACATGGTACCAGCTCTCCTTTTAATCTTCCACTGAGAGAAGCTTTTGGCTCTCAGACTCCCATCCAGGCCTGTGAGTTAACCCAGAGCCACGTCACTCACTCAGTGCTTCCGCTCCCACCACCACACTGTCTGAGATATTGGATTTATTCGACCTATTCTGTGTTTGATGGGGATAATCTGATTGCACATTTAGTTGATTTAATTTGGCATGCTTGAGACCGGAGCGTGCAGGGCTGTTGACAGACTATTAGGCCGCGGTGAGGGGGGATCTCTCAGACGAGGCTGTGTGTGTTTGTGGTGTGTAAACTGAGAGGCTCTTCTTCATATTACATGGGGATGTAGTAGCTTAGGTAGATTGGGTTGCTTCAACGCAGAAAGTGTGTACCCAGGGGACTGTACTCAAAGCTAATGAGCTCTAACAATCTGGCGGATGACGCTTGTGCATTAACCAAACCCCTAAATCCGGATTCTCTCTATCGCTGTGCTCGCCTCTTGTCTCTCCTGCTCTCCTCTACACTTTGTGTAATAGAGTTAATTATGCTAATGCATGTGAGCAACAGGAAATGTTTTTGTTTAGGTTAGCTACGCTTTTGTTCCTGTCATGTGTGTCAGCTTGGTTTGAAAGTGGATCCAAGCAAAGAACATAGACAAAGAGGCAGGCTGGTATAAACAGGCATCCTGGAGCACAGGTAGCACAAGCAATATTAAAGGTCCCCTATTATACTGTTTTTCATCAATATATTATAGGTCTATTAAAGTGCTGATTCTCTGTCTGTTACTTTAGATGAAAATAAATGTGTGTGTGTGGGGGGGGGGTTACTTTGGTTGGTGATTGGCTAATGGTTACACAAGCCAAACAAACTTTATGACATCAAAAAGTGGCCAAAATATAATCAGCTAATTTTCAGTCAGGGTTTTATAGAAATGGATCAGGACAAAAAGTGAGCTAAAACTTTCAGAATCTCTTTACATAGAGGGGACACGTGTTTATGTATAAAAGACATGAAAAAGTGGATTTTGCACAATTGGTGACCTTTAACAAGAAACTCCAGGGTTAGGGTTTGGGGAAACTCAATACATATGTTTGGCCTTAAAACAGAAACTCTGATAACAGCTAGCTTTTATTTGCATGAGCAGCTCGTTGATGGTTTAAAGACATTCTTTGTCATTCTTCACTTTACACTCTCTTTTTGATGAACAGATGACATTGACAAGCATTTCTTACCCATATAGAAACTACATGCAACAACACTAAAACAAGATAAGATATACTTTATGAATCCCAAATTGGGAATTGTTTGCATTGGAGCAGCATGTAAAACAAAGTATTGCACATAATTAGATCAATGACAAGACGGAATTGTAGTTGTATTTATTTTCTTTAACCTTTTTCTAAGGGTTTTCAGCTGTATTGCTATTTTAGGAACTATGAATGACTGCTATATTCAGTTAATAGATAATAAAAAGAAACACACAAGTAGACTACCCCCAACTCCGAAGTATACCCATTTGAAAAAATGTGTATAACGCTAATGTAACCCGTGGTCCTGCAATGATTTAATATGGCCGGAGGCACATGTCACAGTTCACTCAGACTGTTAACTAATTTGATATTATGCACCGTGTTTAGACATATAGAATTCGAGTAGCGTGGTGACATGATGAGATATGTTGGTGTTAAATATGTATTCACAAACCCTGTGTGCACTGTGCCCATCCAGCTGTGCCACGCTGTGGGTCCTGGGAACTGATGATAGCACAGGCCTGTCAGGCAGAGTTGAGGGTGGAGGATAACACACCGCTTTATAGCCCAATCACAAACAATCTGTTTAAGCACTTCAGGGCATACACATAGTTCTAAGGCCTCAGGGAGTAAACATAAACATTACATCCATTGACCTTTACCCCAAATATACTTCATGGGCATTTTTGAGTGCGGAATATATGCCTTTGCCACCACTTTTCATCTTCTCATACACCCCCGAGGGCAATAAATTGTTCCGTGCTGAGAAAAGCGCCTTTGGTCTTCAGTAACATGTCAGTTATCTCAAATATATATGCTAGGGATTTTTTGTTGGTTTGATTTTTGTTGGGGTTGCTATTACACAAGAAATGTGTCATTTGAGACATTTCTCTAGCACATAGAAGTCTTATTTTGTTGTGCATTAAAATGTCCAACCACATTTCATCAGAGTTTAAACATCTTCACCACGGTTGAATCAATTTCATACACATTGATGCGCTATGGTCACACATTTACCTAAATAGGAAAGGTTTTGAGAGAGGGGCTTTCCAAAGTATTTTATTATTTCAACAAGCAGGCCTGGAAGATACCGGTAAGTTTAAACTAGGTGGTTTTAATGAGTTGATGTGAGCTGACCATCCAGTGGCCACAAAAGGAATAGCATGTGCTGTGAAAGGCAATAAGACAACATGGCATTCAGCCAGCCAGCAGGTCCAGCTAGCCACTGCAGTCACCAACAAGACAAGTCCCCACATGCATTCTCTCTTTTATTTATGACACTTAAATGTGCACTGATACAAAATACACAGCAAAAATACTCTTTCACATACATTGTAGTTTATTCTTTCACTATTAGGACAAAGTTTGATAAACGGACACAATATATGATGAACTGTATACACCTGGACACAGTTTACTGATTGGTTCCTCACTGCAAATATATTGTACACAACCAGCTTTAAGAGAAAATGAAAATACTGATTTGGGCCCCTTATAGAATACATTCATACAGAACCACTTTGGTCCAGATAGGGGAGAGACCCAAGCTGCTGGCTTCAAAAACATACATGGTCACAGCTTAAAATACATGTATTAATTTGAAATAAAATCAGCAATATATTTAGACCATACTTACATATAAATACTATTTTACTCAAGGTGCACAACATTCCCCTGTTACCGTATCTAATCATTTCTCCTGCTCTGGAAAACAAGAAAACCACTGAGGATTAACTTCTTGGCAAAAGCAGCGCCAGATGTGTTTCATGCTCCCAGCTCAATTCTGACTACCTGCTCCATTATTATCCTTAGCATCAACTCAACACCAGCTCCTGGCTGAAGTGTAAATGCACAGAGCTATTATCTGAATAAAAAACATGCTGCATGTTGTGCTCTTATTTTGCTCTGAACTACACAATTATTTACAGGAACCACAATGAGAGCAGCTCCCATAGTCAAACACAAAGCTCTGTTCTTGTTATTCCTTATACAGGCATTACTTTTTCATGTGACGCACACTGTTTATGCTAGAGTGGGACTCACACTGACCACTGACCTCCGAGCTCTGTTTGAACGGGGTCATATCAACACATCGCTTATCTGGCTGATGCCGATGATTCATCTTTACTGCAGCACATCCACAAATCTGGAATATTTAAACCACACGCATTCATACCCACTTGAAAATATACAAACACGCACACGTAAGCCAAGAAACAATCAAATATTGACAGCTATCAAATAAATCACCTGTATAAACACATATATACACAGTATTTAGCAATTATAAATTAACATTGTGCAAATAGTCATACATACAACGTCAAGATGAAACTAAAAGAAAATAAACGTTATGAAGGAGGCTTCCCTCTTTTGAAAAGAAATGCAATGTATTCATAAGTGAATGTACCACTGCTAATTTAGCTTTTATTTGTCATTATAGGTTTTGTTCTACTTTTAGAGATTCGTCCACAGCCCCTGCACACACGGGGTAAGGCTGAATAGTAAACACTGTTTGTAGAGTAACTAGGCACAGAAAATTATTCACACAAACGTTTTTTCATCTCTTTTTTGCATTTGCACAGTGGGGACACTAATGTGATGGCACTGTAATAACCTAAACTAAATATGCAAAATTTGCATGCACGACAGCCTATATTTAAAACGGCAAAAACACCCCTGTGCCAGAGACGACAAGTTACTTTGAGTCACAGTGTTAGATTCATTCTTTATGCATGTGTGCCTCTACAGGCCATGTCCATATGCTGTGTATTTTTATCCTTGATTTGAGTGCACAGTTTCCTCTATAAGCTTAGAGTGGGTTATTATGTTGAGGTTCAGGGCATGTGAGTCAGACAACATCTTGATGGCTAGGGGAAAAGAAAACATTCACTTTCACAACATTGAAAATACACCCCCTTGAAAACACACCTGGCACATTTACACGGTTACAACTTAAGCACTCGACAGAATCCATTGCTTAGACCTATATAAAAAAAACACTTATTTTCTGTAAAACACCTAGTCAAGCAATTTTAACTGATTTATAATGCATCTTATACCATCACTTGGCTATATGTAAACCAGAAATGACCTGGTGAGAGCAGCTGCCAATTTCCACGTCCCCCGGGACAGCACGGTGGTCACCTCACTGTATGAGGTACAGCAGAATGCTTATTCTCTTGTTAGACAATAAATCAGATATCAAAGCAAAGCAAAGAAGCATTTTGTTTCCTACCATTTGTTATGATGAACTTGTTTGGTCTTTTTGTGTATGCAGTTCAATGTCCAGTTTGTCTTTAGCCTCCAGTACCGCAAAACACACATTTGATACACATCACAAAGTAAAGCAGAGGCTCAAGCCATGACACTGTTTTTCTTTTTGTTTAGTTTCCATTGTTGCTATTTGAGGTTTGAGGTTTTTGTCTTATTATTTTACATGGCTTATCTGCCTTGAGATGCTATTGTTCAAAATGCAGCAGTTTCTTCTGCTGTCCGACAAACATGTACAGAAATCAATTTACACGGCTCACAGCACATCTCAGTGTGGGAGGCTGCCGTATTATTCTCCATTCTCAGGCTGTGGAGAGGACTGTTCTCCGTTCAGTTTCACCAATCTCTGGGCAAAAGACACTCAGACAGATGAGTTCATCAGCCCTGCTCTTCACAGCCACCCAGGGCAGTATGACAGAGCCAGAGGAGAGCTCAATAAGGTCTTATTCCTGGTACCTTTCACAGGTGGCTCTCCACATTCTCTCTCTGACCCTCGTAACAATGCACCCTGTCCGTAAGGCTCATGTCCTCCAGTAGGGTGCAGTTTGTTCCCTCGTGAAGCGGGGAGGCACACTGGCCTGCCCCCTTACTGTTGACCATACCGTTGTGACATGCAGCCACGAGCATGTGCGTCTCCTCAGGGCTGCAGACCGGGGAGGAGGTCTTAGCGATGTCGGGGAGATGAGGCAGACGAGAGACGTGGTTCAGCAGGCTTGCTGTCTTGGTGTTGGGGGTATTGCTGTAGGTGTGGCGGTATTCCTCCTCTATGTTCCTCCCTAGCTTCCAGCGCTTCCACTTCTTCAAGATCTCCGATTGCACCTGAGGAGAGGAGGGAGAAACAAGCAGCTTTTATTAAAGTGATGATGGTAGGAAAGTCTGGGGCTGTCAAAGGGTTTCTGCGGTGCAAATGCAAATGAGGACGCCTACTTCTTTGTTGACAAAGCAGTACAAGATGGCCACCAAGAGACCCTGTGGAGAAAAACAACATAAGTCTCCTATCTTTAATTCATGACAGATACAATATTTAGAGTACTTTGAAAATCCATTGTTTAAAACTATGAAAACATGTTTTGAACCATATTAATGCATGCACTTTTTCGTGTTTGTAAATGTGTTTCTCTATGACTAAATCAATCACAAGCACTAGCACATCAGAGTATCTTCTGTCTTGATTGAACTTGTGCTCTTTGACTTTGTATTATTTTCCTCTCTCTTTCGCTTTCTTCATCAAGGCAATTCCCCTGGTTGATGTCTGTTATCTTGACACACGTCATCGCTGTCCCCGTAGCAAAAAGGTCACTGTCATTATGTCACACTGTGACGCAGCCAGTTAGAAGCACAGACAGCACATTATGTTAATGTGATCCCTGTAGACACATGAGAAAATACAGCACTTCTCAATTGTCTGGGGGAAGGGAAACTCTGACATGCTGCGACTGATTACGCTCATCTGGACTGACACTTAGACAAGATGAAAGGAAGATGTTTACTGATTTGGCGTAGCGTGAATTTTTTGATTTTGATTTGATAACATGAATGCTTTTCTCAGCTGCAGTTGTGTGCCTTCCATTTAATTCTGTATGTTTCTTTTTCAATGTTGTCTCAGCGTTATGAACTACAAAATTCCTTAACTATGTTTCAACTCTCACTTGATCCCAGGTGAGTGTCGTTGTCGAGTAATTTCATAAATGGTGCCGTCTTAGTTTTAGAAAATTGCAGTAGCTGATGTTCTAGAAGTAATTTTTTCAGGGTCCGACCTGGAAGGAGGAGAAGAAGAGGTCGCTGAAGAGCTTGGTGAGGCGCAGTCCTATGGTGGCCTTGGTGGACTCATCTGTGACGAAGATGAAGACCACCTGATGGATGCCCAGCAGGGGGATCAGGGTTAGAGTCGACTTAGCCAACCTGAGAGGGATGAGAGACATAGAGAAAGAACAGATATAATAAGTGGACTTTTTTTATGTGAATAGAAAAAAAGACATTGTTAACGTTTAAACTCACCTGAATTTGTAATCTGTATACCTCATTTGGTGTGCTCTAAGTTTTGACACCAGAATTTTGATGATATGGATAAAGATAAGGAAGTTGATCTGTAAAAGACAGAGACATAACCGTTTTTAAATGAAAGCCAAACAGATCAGTGTGTGACATTATGCTGCTCAAAGCATTGAACAATCATATTTGTGAAACTGAACAGCAAAATATGCTTTTTTAGAAACACAGTATAAACCACATATTGCCATATTCATACAAAAAATAAATTCCAATGAAAACTGCCAAATCCATTTGCAGTTGAAACCAAAATATTCTGAATGGATTCATATAAAAAAATGCTACCGGTAATCACAAAACATCTTTTGTTACTTGAGTAGCCTGCACCTTTAACCTTATTGCTCACAGCAGAGGCACATTGTGGTCAGGGAACCCTTTCACATTAGATGCCATCACAACAGCGGGTGTTTCTCTAATGAAAATCACTTATGATGTGACCTTTTCAGTGTATTTAAAATGAGGGTTGTTAATTTGAAGGAGCCTGGACAAAGGAAGTGAAAAGGGCTCACTCGTAAACAGAGTCCATGCCAGATCTCCATCCCCTTTTTATCAGTACACGCACGTAGCAGATATTTTCATTTTTTTTCAGTCAAAGGGCTGGAGTGAGCAAAAGACACACGCCAAAAGTTTCATGATGGATGAGCTTCCTCCATTTCCTCTTCTTGAAAAGTATGTGGATTTCACTCCATATACACTGCAAAGAGTACATACAGCACATGCTCTTTCTATATTTGTGTGTCCTTATGTGTTACCATATCTTTTATTATGGAAATGTAATTTTGGTTCACGTACACATGCATATTAGTGCTTACTGCTGAGCGTAGTTTTATACTCCTGAGCACCTTCAACATGGTGGGATTAGGACAAAGAGGGAAACACTGAAATGGGAAGCAGCCCTTCTGTCCCTGTGGCAATTCAAACACAGGAATTCCTGTGAGATACAGGCCACTTAGCTGGAAGATTAATTCATGGAAAATACCGTCTGTGTAACAGGCCTGACATAAGAGCCATGACAAATGGGACTTATATAAAAGCTCAGAAATGACCTTTGCAGTGCTCACATACAATAATAAGGCTGGTTGCCGTATGGATGGGGGTTAGGTAAACTTTGCAGTATCAAAGAAAACACATCTCTTTAATCCAAAACCTATGACTCTCAATATGTTTCCCAGATGTTTGGCCTAAAGCGCCGACAGCCTTTTACACATCATGAATAAATTAAGTGTGTTTAATATTGTAGTGTGAATGCAGGACGTAGAAATACAGTAGTGGTGGGTAAATGTGGGATTTTGATAGGCGAATGCACTTATTTCCCATGTATTTTCAAGGCAAAAATAATAAACTTCTTCGGCTTTTGTATTCAAATGTAGGATGTAGCATATCATGATGTGAACTAAAGAAACCTATACTGGTTGAAAAAAAAGCAGAAGACAGCAACAGAGATAACAAGGGGAATTACCACAACTGCTAGCAGAATGGGAGAACGGATGATCCACCAGTAATGCATGTTTATATTTTGTCCCCAGCACCTGAAAAGGAAAGTGTAAGAGGAACAATCAGTCAGAGATACCAAGACACACCTCATATGCTTTCAAACAAGTTTCACTGTGTAGCAAATGTTGTCACACTGCTTTGCAACTCTGCTAAAGTAGAAAGATTTCCTCTCCCTGGCTGTGTGAGTGACACGGCAGCACCATCAAGGGTTTTTAAAGTTTGAAATAACAACACAATGTGTACGTTCTTTAAAAAGTGTAGATTTAAAAATCCTTTCAACCCCCAATTACTGCTTAGAACCTATGAGATTGCATAATAATGTTTGGGGAATATTGTATAGCAAAAACGTGCCAAAGCATCTGCTGTTCTCAGAGAGTTTTTCATATTCCCACAGAAGATTAAAGTGCCTGTGTGAAAAATATAGTTGCAGCCAACGCATTGAGTTGTAATCATCATTAAATTGGCCTGCTGAGTATCAACATTCAAACGTTCAAGAAAGAATACCATCTGCCAGATTTTTTCTTCTGATTTCTGAAAATGTTGTAGGCGAGTCTGATAGCAGCTAGGGAAGGTAGGAGTGAGGGAATAGAGTAAGAGAGACGGAGGGCACGGTGGAAACTTACTCTTGGTTTTCATACAGGTATTTAGCTATCACCCAGGGCACGAGGAATATTAACGGGGTACCTGGAAAGAAATGAGAGCTGTCTAAATGCAAAACAGTCATGATGTACACCAGCGTTACAGCCCTTTTTCATTTATCTGCTCTCGTTTAATTTCCTTTCATGCAAAAAGTATAATTAAGCACATCATATTAATAACTTGCATCCCCTGAGTTTTTACTTCACATAGACACACACTCAAATACACACTCGCAGACCCCCAGCTCACCCCAGCCAATGCACAGGTAGATTTTGAAGTAGTTCCTCTCTGTGAACACAGTGATGACCAGCAGGTTGTGGAGGTAGATGCCTTCTACCAGCAGCCAGTAGCTGTTGGCCATTATACTGTACTGCATCATCACCATGGCGATGCGACAGCCCACAGCAGTCTGTAAAACATCAGCAAGGTCTGTTTCACAAAGGATAAAACATCAAGCCGTCTGCCGTTAAAACATTTTGTAGTGAGAGTGATGTGGACGGGGAGATCAGTGTCGCAGCAGATGGGAGTTCCTTCTGCCGCCAGGATTTAGATTGTGTGCCTACAGCCATGAGAGGAACTACAGCAGGAACTTCAACCCGAATGTCAGCCAGCTGTGATCCACAAACACAACAAACACACAACTATACTACACATCAGCACACGTGGTTCTGCCGTCACTGATTTAGGTTTTTTAGCTTCTACAATTATCTTTATTGTAACCTTATCCCTTCACCATTATTTCTTTCTCAACAAACAACACCTTTTTTATTAAGTACATGTTTTGACTTTGAATATAAGTTTTTCAAATACAATCCTGCATCATGTGCCATGCAAATGAACAGGGAAACATGAAAATATCTCTTCTGGTGAGGCAGAGTAAATGTTTTATTGTGACACAATTACTGGACATAAAATACTCAGTTTTCACACACACACATGTAAATAAATGTACACATGACCAGATATGTATATATGTTCATTTTAATTAATTTCTTAATTTATAGTTATTTATCATTTTTAATTTTTATCTTTGATTTATCCTTAATTGTATTAATCTGTGTGAATCTGTGCTGTCCTGTTTTTCAATCTTAACCTATTGCTGTTAAACTACTGAATTTCCCCACGGGGATAAATAAAGGTCCATCTTATTTGATCTTATCTTACAGAAGCAGGTTGCCCATAAACTACATGTCCCACAATGCATCTCATTTTGTGACATGCGCACTGAAGAGACTTGCAATTATTTGCCCTAGACTTCTGCTTTCAGACGTAGTTAATTATGAAGTTATTACCCTATCTAATAATAATCCAATGCAGAGGCAATAATATAATTTAATACATTATTTCGTACATATTATGTATTTATATATGTATATTTATATAGTTACAACCGGCCCTTTGAGTGCAGCCATAATGCTAATGTATCCCACGATGAAATTGATTTTGACACCCCTGGCCTACAGTATATCACACACAGGTAAAAAAGTTGCAAAAAGTAACTACTCCATATTTAAAAAGTATGCAATCCAGAGAATTAACCTTAAAATGCTTACCTCAGATGTCTTCTTGGCATTTAATCTGTTAAAGTATTACACACGTCCCCACAACAAACATTTGTCTTCCCTTTTAAAAACCTATATATTCCTTTCTAATGCAGCATCCATTTATAACTCACCCAGTCTCTGAATAATCAGATTTCTGCCTGGAACCAATCCTCAAGTGATGGAGGGAATGTAGATACAACTCCTCCTGAGATTAAAACAGGTTTTGGACAGAATTCAAAATGTGCAG